GTCTTATTTGATTTCAGAATGTTAAACGGATCACCAGACAACAGCGCGATTCGCTCAATTGTGATTGGTCAGCAGCATGTCTAGCGCGTTGACAGTTGACACGCGTTGACACACGAGATACATCATGATATAACGTCCGTTTGTTCAATTTAAAATAAAAAATTAAAATGAATTTATTCATAATACACACACTTATGGACGTCAATATAAAAAATGTGATTAATCTAAATTTACATTTACTACAAGATTTTTTTACTTATTATCCGCATGAAAGTGGCATAATCTTTTATTTTTTCCTTTTTTACTTTCAAATATCTATTTAAATTATTACCACATATTTTAACTGCCGTACATATAACAAAACACGCCAGGCAGAATAGTTCTTTAATTACACAAGTTGGAACAAAATCGTCAAAGCGACCCCATTTAAATAACTCAAGTCACGTTCGCCAAATAAGCAGATCTAACAAGCAGTGTATCGCTTGCACTGATTGTTAATTGATTAGATTAAAAATTTTGGCCCAATTCCCCGCCCATTGTTACTGTGGGGTTGACAGAATAATTATTTTTACGCCGGTGTCTTTTACAATTTAGTTAAGTATGCAAATACCATGGCGTTTACAGAGGAATATTTTAAACTTCTAAAATGAATTTATGTTATAAATTCTATACAATGTGTTTATTTATTACGATCATAATTAAAATATTTTGTTAAAAATAAATATTTTGTTATAAATGTTTTCGAAAATTGCCACAATTTTTAGGTTTTTGAAAGTAAAGTTTTAAAATTCAAAAAACTTATTAATTAAAAATAATTGTGAATCAAGAAAAGCTATATTGCGTATTGTTCGCTAGACTTCTAGTTTCATCAAGTATTTGTACGTCAACGCAATAGTATTAGTTTGAAAAACTGGTTGATGAATTTCTTAATACTATTGATGGACTACATTTACTCCCAACGACACACGTTCGTGCTTCCGCTTAGGTCTAAATCCACTTAGTTTTCCATATTAAAATGTATAGTTACTATTTTATTTTACGTTTCCTTTGTGATAAAGATACTAGTATTATCCTGAAATTAAAAAAGGTATAAATAATATAATTAAAATTGGACACACACTTAAAATTCTTACTACCTTCATTACTTGAATTAATAAGTTGTAGTGCGTTGTCTTAATGATGTTATTTATTGTAATGTGTTTGAGAATTTTCCTTCTAATAGAAATAATAGATTGTTATTTAAGTATATGAATCTGACGTGAATACATGAGTCTGTTATTTACATATAACTTTGTAGTAAATACTGTTTCAATATGTGAGTGACTTCAAGAAACTTTCTATTCCTTTTATCATACAATTTTCAGTTTTAAACAAACATTTGCAGATGTTTTAGTTTTAATGAGGATTTTACTTATATGAAACTTAAACTAAACAAACAGTTTTGAAAAGAAAATGTAATGTTTTTCGCTGCAGCATCGAAAAACCATTTTAAAGTTATTGTTGATACAACAGAATGTATTGAGAGAAATGTAACCAAAGTACCTCAAAAAAGGCATCAGAAAATGCAACACAAATCGAGATATCTTTCAAGTAGCTCCATATGACGTACGTGGGTATGTTCGAAATTCGAAATTTTACCCCAAAGTCGTTGAACAATTCTGTCGCCCTAAACGCACAGTGTTTTATTGTCGAATATTTTTATTTTAATACTGCTAGGTGGGTTTGAAAATTGAGTTAAAATGACAGTGGCGTACGTTGTGATTCGCTCCGTGGTCGCATTAAACGCATTAGGGGTTGAAATTGGATTTAGTTAGGGCGCACTGTTAGTACACTTGTTATGAATTTGCTATGTGTGTTAAAAAACTTATTTCGCTCTGTTTTCTTTCTTTGTATTTGCAAATCTATTCCTATGTTTTCCGATATCCAAACTCCGAAGCAAAACTACTGAAAAAAAATGCACAAGAAATTGTAAACCTGTTCCTAAAAGTCAGTCATGAATGAATGCTTCAATTCGAATGAATAAATGAACGAATGAATGAATTCAATTTTAATATTTTTCTTGAAAGTTTAAATTTTCTAATACTGTTCTTCAAACACATATGTACTTAGTAGACCAGTGCCGATAATTTTTGAAACCTAAAAAATTAATAGTAGGATGAAACCTATTGGAAAAGGAGGAGAATATTATACAAATTAAAGGAAAAATAAATTACGGGCGATCTGAGGTCGGGAAGGGGGGGGGGTAGTTTTAAGGGTAAAAAACGGTTTATCTCGATTCCGGCAAAACTAAAAGTCCTACGAAGAAAGTAAATGGCAAAGTTGTAGGTAATAATAAAGATCTTAAACTTTTGTATTCACACATTTTTCACATAACCTCAAAATTTATGTGAAAAATTCAAAAACCCAAGTTTTTGGTTTTTAATTTTTATCTTTTACAAAAATATTTTTTTTTGTAACGAAATTTGGTGAAAACTTATCTTTCTATGTCCCAAATACGCTGAATTTATTTGATTAAAAATATTTATTTGTTCACCTTATTTTGAATTAATATCGAAAAAACCCCTAATTTTCAATCGAAAATTCAGACGTCAAAATTTCAGCTTTTTTCAAAAAGTTGGTGTGCTTTCAGTTCGTTGAAATCTCTACTTTCCTATGGTAAATATATATATATATTAACATAGTAAATCTTCTCAGAAAATGCAAAAAATCGTATGCAGTAACGCCCAGACCCGTCATCCCCTTCCCTACTTCTCTATGAATATTCTTTAAATTATAATCAGATGCCAATTATCACTATTTTAAGATAACTTATATATACCTGAGTGACCTAAAAAAAAAATTTATCCTTTAGATGGGGTTTTCGTCTTTCATAGAGAAGTAAGGAAGGGGATGACAGGTCTGGGCGTTACTGCATACGATTTTTTGCGTTTTCTGAGAAGATTTACTATGGTAATATATATATATATATATTTTTACCATAGGAAAGTAGAGATTTCAACGAACTGAAAGCACACTAACTTTTTGAAAAAAGCTGAAATTTTGACGTCAGAATTTTCGATTGAAAATTAGGGTGTTTTTTCGATATTAATTCAAAATAAGGTGAAAAAATAAATATTTTTAATCAAATAAATTACAGTATATTTGGGACATAATAAGGTAAGTTTTCACCAAATTTCGTTTAAAAAAATAAATTTTTGTAAAAGATAAAAATAAAAAACCAAAAACTTGGTTTTTTTAATTTTTCACACCAATTTTGAGGTTATGTGAAAAATGTGTGAATACAAAAGTTTTAGATCTTTTTATTACCTACAACTTTGCCGTTTAACTTTCTTCGATAGGACTTGTGGTTTTGCCGGAAATCGAGATAAACCGTTTTTCCTACCCCACCCCTACCCCTTCCCGACCTCAGATCGACCGTAATTTATTTTTCCTTTCATTTTGATCATATTTCCCTGCTTTTCTAATGGGTTGCATCCTACTGTAATTTTTTTCACTTTTTATTTATTTTAAAGGCTATCTGCACTGGTCTATAGAAGCAAGTAATAAATTTTATTTTTTAACATAGAACTTGAACAGTTTATTTCTAAGTAACACATGTGGCTTTTTACGAATGTTTACTTAAGCTTGGGTAATTTATTTGAGGTATTGCGGAGAATCAGTCCCTGAGGCGTCCTTATTTGCGTGCACGCTCCGGTTCACAATATTTGTGATTTACCCTCAGTTTTTTGGTCAGCTCTATGATTTATAGAAGAGAGAAATATCATTCTTTAAACATTAATAAAATGTCGTTAAGTATACACAATTAATTCACGTGTTATGTGATATGGTTTATTTTAATTATATTAAAGTTCCTTATAAAAACTAAATCAGTTTAATTGCAGTCTTTGAACTAAATAACTAACTGTATCTGTCAAAGTTAGAGTACTTTACTAAAAATAGTGCAGTAAAACGGTTTTAATTTTTATGAATGGGGGCTCTTAAATTATATTTATTTATTTGTCTGTAAAAATACTTTTTGGCTCTGTGAGACAAGTAGTAGGCTGCCCCCAATTTTTTTAAAAGTATTAGTTAAGATATTAAAGTTTAACTTGTTACTAACCAGAATGGATTCTTGTAATCTAAAGTAAATGAATGGTCATATTTTCTATATATTTACAAATTTGATTCTGCTGACTGTACCGCTAACACGGTTAGCGTCGACAATGAGTTGACGAAGGCAAATCTGATTTGCGAACCCTCCTCAGTTATTTTAGAGGCACTCACTCGTTTTGCATAGCGCCTGGGGTGGGCCAACGGGCTATTTGTTCCCACAATATGCTACATTGTGTCTCGGTACATCGCTAGTCTTCGGTTATACTTGGTCTAGGTTTCACGTACTTATTTGATTGGCTGAGTATTATCTTTATCCTTTTTAAGTAACGTTAACATATTGTTAGACGGGCGAAACGTACCGATGCTGACTGATAAGCACGCTTCAGGGTAAATGTTGTAAAAAAATATATTATAATAATGACAAATACCTTAACTGTGTCGTATAATGGAGCACGAACGTATAAATCAAATTTGGGATGACAGCTTTCATACTACATACCTCCAATTTAAATACAAATGAACTTGGAGATACATCTTATATATAAAATTCTCGTGTCACAATGTTCGTTCCCATACTCCTCCGAAACAGCTCGACCGATTCTTATGAAATTTTTTATGTATATTCAGAAAGTGTGAGAATCGGCTACAATCTATCTTTCAAACCCCTAAGTGATAAGGGGTGTCCACAGAATATTTTTTTTTATTCTTTAGATTTTTTTTGTTTTTATTTTTTTATGACAGCATACTAAAATCGATACAACCCCTAATTTTCACCCCTCTACGATTAACCCTTATTTTTTATTATTGTAGATAGTTATTTTTATTTAACTAAAATAATATTTCCTAGAAATAATATACATGGCAAAACAAATGTTTGCCGGGTCAGCTAGTATTTTATTTTAACTCACCTTTTAGAGCTTTGCTGGTAGGCGGCGTATCCCGACTCCATGGAGGGTCACCGTGTCCTGAGAAATCACGAAGCTTTAGGTAGCTAATAGTGAGCCTAATGATGGAGGCTTTGTCCAGCTGGCTGGTAATAGCAGCCGGTAGAGGCAGCATCTTCGCCAATTCGTAGAATTCATAGTTCTCTTTACCACGGCGAGATCTTGCTGCATCTCTACTCTTCTCTTTTCGAAGCTCGAGAATGCTGTAAAAGAAAGAGATGGTTAGCTATCCTGTAATGTTATGTATCAAGATGAGACGAGAACTGAGTTAGAAACAATATAAAGTGTATGATTTTGAAAAATTTGAATTTCGAACAGTTAACAAATTTGTTATCACATTTACGCACAGTAATTATTGCAACGTTTCGTGCGAAGATTATTCCTTAGCAAATAAATAAACTTGAGATATGGTTAATAAATTTCATTATACGTTAATTAAAATAAGTTAGAGTTATCGCTGTTGATATGTTAATAAGGCTCAAAAACCGGTTGTATTGTATGTAGGAGGGGTCTCAGCCACGCCCGCCCTCCGCCCAACGCTAATGACTTTGTTTTAACATACATTTGCATTTTATTCGAATATGTGGTTTACTACGTGAACTTTAAGTACAAATAAATACCACAGATTTTCGTTAGAACTTTCATACTACTTGGTAGCAAGTACAGTACTGATAATTGAAGACATTTAATTATAATTTTAGAAGGTCCCATAACTGAAAATATTATCACATTTTAAACATAAAACATCTTAGCAAATACTTCCGGTTACAAAAGGTTTTCCCATTAACAGGCAGGGGTAGTAAACCTTTCGCGCTGTGTAAGCGATCCTGTGATGGGCCTAGTTTACGATCGACTCCGATTACTAGCCCCCAAGAGTGTTTGTTTTATTGTCACCTGAGTAAGGTAATTTCGTGGCCCCTGTATCAACATCACAAACCGTAAAGCTACCATTTATAAAAATACCTTTTCGATTTCACGTTATTCGAATCAAAAATCGCTGCAACAACACAATAATCTTAACAACCCCTTAGGGATTAATAACTCTTTAAAAATAAAGAAAATCTAAGCGAACCATTTAACGATAAGATCAAATTTTCCGATAACCCGGTTCAAGTATAAAACAAGCGGCTATTTCGCTTGATTTAATGTTCCTCGAGGGTCAGTGTTGGGGTATTAAATTGTTTAAAATAACTTTAGAGTGACCGAGGGTTGACCGCCCCTAGCTATTGTATATTATCTTAAGTACCTAAGCCAATCTATAAGGTTCTAGTAAATAAAAATGTCAAACATTTGTTAGAAAAAATATTTATTTATTTATCAACACTTTGTTGCATTTCATATTTGGTAACTATACATTCAGGTAACATAAATAAAGGAGGCAACGGCCTTATCGCTAACAAGCGGTATCTTCCAGGCAACGCCGATAAGTAAAAAAAGGTATGTATATCTTTATAGTGCAAAAAATGAATTTAAAAAATATAAATAATTTGCTTAATATCTTGATCGCTTGAAATATCATGCAGGACAACGTCTGTGGGGTCCGCTAGTATATATGTATATAGATGTAGACCTATCAAATCTATCTTCTAATATCTTTTTCCTAAGATCTCATTTCATTACTACTATAATTCCCGGTAAGTTATACTTAATTTTGTTATACGTAACCTATTTGTCCAACACTTCAAAGTGGTCCAATTTAATTCATCACTTTTATGACAGTCCTCCCTTCACCTTACAAGTCTTAAGTACTCAAACGTGTCTCAACGCCCTGCACACCTGGGAATCGAACAGGCTAACACTGACCCTCACTCCCAACGGACTCACTAAAACATACTCTAATACTCACGTCTTATAGTTGACTTTAAGAGTACAAAGCTCAATAGTTAAAGATAAAAATGACGTAAGTCCCTGGAAATGCAAGCAATTTTCGTCTTCAGGGTGGAAGAATTGCAAATTGAAAGAATAGTGAGGAGTCATAAAAAGCTGTCCACTACGCAAGCGTTTCGGTTAATATGGCCCGGGACAAATTGAGTTGGACCGGCTAAGAATTAGTTGGCCCCTGGGAGTTGGGTATGACGGATGGCCATTAGGGCATGGTATTTAGTTTCTTGTTCTATTTGATTGCATGAATTAGTTAGTAGACTTGATTGGATTACGATTTTATTAGTTAATTTGCGAATCAAAGTTTACTAGAATTGACTTGAATGAATGTTGAATGAATGCAGTAAGAATACTCTAATTTAACTTCAGATTAAATAACAAAAAAATCGCATGTGTTCTTTTAAAGGGCCTGCCATGCATTCGTTTTGCTTTTTTTTAATCCAAATTTTGTTTTTTTCTAATCTTTCGTGCAGAATAATAAAACGTATGTATCTGCTTGTATATTTTTACATAAACAAAAATTTAGGATGAATATAAAAATGCCAATAAAACATTAATCTTATCTTTAGTATATTTATCACATAATCTAGGTATATCTTTTTTATATAATTCTTTTTAATAAACCCAACATTTCGCACACAATACTTCATACTTATCGTACACCAAATAACACTTAAATACTATTGTACAGGAAAGAACAGTAGTACAGATTAAAAATACCACAGACGGGGTAAGTTAAATTGTCAACTGTCACCTTTGGGGAGCTTTGAAAGGCAGACACCTTCGATTAACCCCTCAATTACCGGGATTATAACATCGGTTTTTAAGAACGTGCATGGGAATTTTCAGAGTTTCTACTTGAATAGGTGCAAGGCTAAACATTTTATTGTCATTATTGAATCTATTGATAGATTGATGGGAAGGATTAAGACTTGTTAGATGATAATAATATAGCTGTTGGTGCAGAGGTGGTGACTCTACGTACCACATATAATTTAAAGGTAAATATTGTCTGCATTAATAAAGAATATTGTGAAAACTTTAATTTATTTATATGATAATAGAAATTAAAAATATCTTGATATATATAAATTACGCGTCACGTTGTTTGTCTGCTCCTAAACTACTTAACCGATTTCAACGATATTTGCACACCGTGTGCAGTTTGATCTAACTTTAAAGATAGGATAGCTTACATTTCAATTTATACCCACAATATTATTTTATTATTTGTTTATTATTTTACAGTCACAATTCTTACAGATGGCGCTGTGGTGAAAGTACCAATGATTCACGTAAGCTACAATTTAATGGCATAACCACCAAAAAAGCATGGTCCCCACGACTGGTGTTCTCCTACCGTTTCCCTAGAATAGTTTACTACTATGGTATATAACAAAAACCTCAGCAACGCGTGGCCGGGTCTGCTAGTGTCTATATAAATTTCGTATCCACAGTTTATAAACATCAGTACCATAACATTCGATCAGATAAGTTTATGGCACTATAATGATACGAATCGTCTTAAATTTAATAGTACTTCATATAAAGGTATTTTAAAGTGCAAAGATTTTTAATAAAATTTTATCTTTTCTTAAGAGTATAAAGAAGCCGTAGAGGATCGTAACAATTACAAATATGACGTGTTGTATTGTCAATATCAAGTGGTTATGTCACCATTAACCACTCGAAGGGAACGATTATAGTTATGAAATATTTAGGGCTATAAGTATCTATTGTTGCAACGCCGTTAAATAATAATGATCTTCAAGAAGCTATGGGATAGAAATGTTTTAGTTTTAAAAAAATATGATGTGAAAACGAATTTTAAGATAATAACTTTATTCGATATTAAACCTAGGTTTACGCTATGTATTGTCTTAGAAGTACAAATTTTCCAACTTATTTCCACTGATGTAACAGATACTACAACTTTTAACAATGTTCTTTGATTTAAAAAAAAAGAGTGACGGAGAGTTTATTGCCAGTTCTTCTCTTCCGTTCTACGCCCATGATTTCAGAACTGGCAGTAAATGTAAAATTAGAAGCATTTAACGTATATTTCTTTTTTGACGTTCATAAGTGTACATTATGTTACCTATATGAATAAATGATATTTGACTTTTGATTTATATTATTTATGAAACAATATATACATCATAATATGTAGTATATTTCTCGACCTGATAAAAGACCTCCTTATTCTTATGCAAAGGTAATAAGAGCCATATTGTGTAAATTACTAATATTATACTTATTACTAGGGATTCTATATCTAAAAAAAGTAAATTGTTAACCGAATTCAAAACTCCCAAGGTTACATAAAACGGAAGCTCAGAAAGTACTTTGTAAAGTGTAAGTTTTCAAAGGAAATTCACACCCTACACTTAAGGTCTGCTAGTTTTCTTTAAAAGTGCGGACATTTGAGCCCTTGAGTTAAGTCAACCGTTGTATCCCCTGGGTCTTAAAGACCCGACGGTCACTCGTTCGGAATTCAAATAAATTGTCGCTCTAATAGAGGTTGCTTACGTCACGGTAATAGATATTGCATACTGAGGAAAGCGACGTAAAATTTATTTAATTTACATACCTAAAGTATGATAAGAATGTAAATTAAATGTAAAACCTATTAATGTTAACAGACTTGTCATCTAAAATTCATAATGATTCGTTTAAGAAAATTAAATTAAAAAAAAAAGTATTATGTAAAATAACTTTAGTCCTTGTTAAATGCACTATTTTCTTGAAATAATAAGGATCCATACTATATCTAGTTACGATAGGTATTTATGTGATCAAAGGAATATTATTATTATGTATATATTTAGAGATTCGCATTGACAAACGGCTTCTTAAGTAATAAGAATAAATAAATGTCCAATTAAAATGTGGCAACAAACAATTATTTATTTTAATTCTATTCATTAACGGAACAAGATTACCCTGTGTTGTGATAATGAATTCAATCATTAATCTAATGATATCATCACAAATATAAGCGACGGAGATAAACATATTAAACGATTGGACTTTATTAAGGGATAAAATAAATACGGAAAAGGGGCGCTCATATTTGACGTGGAGAATGAGATGTCGTCGGCTTATTACGCCTTAGGATTATTGATATACTAAACGATTATTCTTGATATAATCTGTGATCCTAAACGAAAGTATAGATTATTTATTTATTTGAGGATATGTGTGAGTTATTTATACTAGTCAAACCTACAAATGCAGTGAAAATGTCCGTGCCTATTAATTATATTTTTAATTATTAGTAGGTACATGAAGATACGAAAATAAGTGAAATGTATTTTTTTTTAAATTTATTTTTAACATTTAAGGTGATTTGTATATTTATATTTTAAATATAGTGTATTTATTGATATTCAAAAATAGCGGTACACATTTTACATTGAAATGTTTTCTCCCATTTATTGCAATGACACAAAAATATTTTAACTAGTCAGTCACGACTCACGACCTTCCAATTTTGTCAGTTGTCGCAGTTATGCTATTTTTGTGAAATTTGAAATGTTCAATGGCTTTTTCACTATTACAATATAATTTAAAAAAATAACTGGGTATTATAAAAAATGGTTTAATTAGAACGGTTCAATTTGTTCTGTTGCAACTATGGCTTGACTATTTCAGTAACCAAATGGGGTAAAACAGGAACATTATCTTAACATTAATTGCTTATATTTCTTTAAAGCAATATAATAAGTGCAACCCGAAAGAATATTATTTTGCCTCATATAGTAGTACCAACCAAATTTCAACCTTAAAAGAAATTGCTTTTGAATATAAAAAATATACAAAGGTTTTGATTACATATCTTTTTTAGGAATTTGTTTATTACCGCAATATTTTTTTGTATAATTTTAACAGGTTAAAAATTATATTGGTTGATTTTTGAATTGCTTATTTTTTACTAAAGCTATATATATAAAACGATGTGAAAATTAAGAGGGGGTCTCAAAAATCCGAGGTCTCTCGGGCATGCGTTTTAGTGCTGTGATGAGAAGCGTTACTCAGCAGTTTCTGGCCTTCAATGACCGTACGTGACATTACAATTTAGCAGTAATGTGATCTGTATCGATATTGGCGCTTTGATTAAGTTTTTGGATTCTTAAAACGTATCTGCCGTAAGCCTTCTTGGGTTATTCGAGGGTTCGATTGAAATACAAGATATAACACATGGATGAAGATTACTTTTTCACTTATTAAGTTATCAAATAATGATTTTAAATTAAACTTTAGAATTCTAATACTATAATAAAAACTTCATTGTTTTGTGTGAATATAGGGATTCCACTTTTAAACACACATATTATAATACATTGTAAAGATACAGACACACAGAAAGTATAGTATAGAGACATTGTTACTATTTTCACTAGTCTTTGGTTTAAACGCAATTAACTCCATGATTTCGTAGCAATGCGATAAATAGAATTAATATAATATGTGTTGTAATATATGACAAAAACACCTGTCGAAAGTTGTGCCGTTACATTTGTCTTGTTGAGGTAATTTGCGAGGGAAATCTAGATATGTTATCAAGTGCCTCGCCTAGTAACAAAAACTTGCTTCTATTAGGCGAGTTGGCCAACAAAAAACACGATAAAAAACTCAGTTGAGATGTAACTGGGTATTTTATTGTTGAGGGTTTTTAATCAACTTTTGTCAGTTGGCTGTCTTCATATATTACTATATTTATTAATTATTTATATTCCTAAATATGTACAATCTTTTCACTATAAGTATGTTTAACGAAAAATAATTTGTAGGTACGTACCGAAAACATTTAGTTCATATATATTATTTATTCTTAAATTTTACTTAGTTGCAGATAGGAAAAAAAGTATTTTTTACTTATTTTAATAAGATTAGTTCTTCTTGTCCATATATGTACCTACTTTAATTCTAGTTCTAAGTGCTACATTGTATCTTAGACAATTTCAAACACTCGTCGATGATAGATAATGTATAGATATATATTTTACACGTTGGTATATTTCATTTTTTGTTTTGATACAATAATTCATTATAACAGCCCCAGTCATTTTCGATTTCCCCCAAAAAGAACATTT